TGCTCAAGACAGGATCAGAGGCCATGGATGTTGACAACTGATGTGTCTGTTTTCCTCTTTTTCCATGACTGTATCTACTGCCTCGTCTTGATTTACAAATAAAACCTGGAAAACCTACAAAAATAAGTGTTTTGTTGTTCATCTAGGAATAATACAGAAAATAGTGCTGTTATTTTTGGTGAAGAAAATCAATTTTGTATAGTTTATTTCAACCTAAATAAAATGTGGATTTTGTTTTAAAAAAAAAAAAAAAAGGGAGGGAGGTGGGCTCCTGAATGCTCAACTCTGAAGGAGACACCCTTTTGCTGAGCTAGTCGGTCTCCAGGAAACCCGCCAGGTGCTCGGTCAGCCTGGGATGGAGGGGCAGTGCTCCCTCCTCTCTCTTGTCATTTTGTCATTTTTTACTTTTGTGCCTCCAGACCCTAGAAAATCATTTCCTTTTTCTTCCTTCATCTACCCATCTCCATCATACCCTCTATTTTCTTCTCCTCTACCTGCCCCTGCTGGCCAGGCTTAAACCTAGGCCACCAGCCTCCCTGGCACATACCTATTCCCCTAACTAAACCTCCCCACCCCTAAGAAACAAAAGCATTTCACAAGGACATTGTGACCCAGAGAGGCACGTACCATAATTACCGGCAGGCGGGGAAGCTCGTCTCACCTGCTGAGTATATGTGTCTGGAACCGAAACCATCTGGGTGAACACCCCATCCCCCACCCCAGAAAAATATGGCGCCAAATGCCAGGTGATTGGCTAAGCCTCCTATCCCAGATCCTCTAGCAGAGCTCAGGATTCCCCAGATTCCTGGCAGGCTTGGAGACATCAGCTGTAGTACTCTAGAAAGTAAGAATCTGGCGATGGATGGGGGAGACGGAATGGTGTGAGGAGGAATTTACGGGCTGAGCTGGGGACAGGTGTCCTGAGTGGAAGGAACAGGCAGTCACCAAACTTGAAAGGTCCCTCTGCCCAGGAGTTTCTTCCCCGCCCTGGGGTCACAGAGCCAGTGCTGTCAGCATTTTGGAATTCATTCATTCCTCTGGAGGACCAGTGACTCCAGAGGAATCCTCTTTCAAAATAAAGATATTCTGACCCAGCAAACCCACTCCTAGGTTTATCTCTCCAAAAGAAATTAAAATAGATGTCCAGGGACGCCTGGGTGGCTCAGTCGTTAAGTGTCTGCCTTCAGCTCAGGTCATGATCCCGGGGTCCTGGAAACAAGCCCCAAGTCAGTCCCAGTCAGTCCATCCTTCTCCCTGCTCAGCAAGGAGCCTGCTTATACCTCTCCCTCTGCCCCTGCCCCTCCCCCTCCACTTGTGCTCTCACGTTCTCTCTCAAATAAATAAAATCTTCAAAAAACAAAATAAAATAAAATGGAATGAAGTACTGATTCATGTTACAACATGGATCAACCATAAAAACATCATGCTGACTGAGAGAAGCCAGTCACAAAGGATCACACATTATATGATTACATTTACATAAAATGCCTAGAACAGGAAATCTCAGAGAAAGAAAGTAGACTAGTGGTTGTCTAGGGCTGGGGGGATTAAGAGAAAATGGGGATTGACTGCTAATGGATCAAGATTTCTTTATGGCTAGAGAAAATGTTCTAAAATTGATTATGTTGATGACTGTACAACTCAGTGACTACACTAAAAGCCACTGAATTGTACATTTTAAATGGGTTATTTGTGCAGTCTATGAAGTATAGCTCATTAAAGTAGTTACAGAAAAATTAGGCCCATAGTAAACCTTCAATAAATCATAGCTTTAGTTAAAAAAATTTTTTTAATTTTTTTAAAGATTTTATTTATTTATTTGAGAGAGAGAGAGAGCACAAGTGGGGGGAGGCAGGGAGAGGGAGAAGCAGACCCCCCACTGAGCAGGGAGCCCGACGAGACACTCGATCCCAGGACCTGGGGATCATAAATTGAGCCAAAGCAGATGCTTAACCGACTCAGCCACCCAGGCACCCCCTCCCCCCAAAAATTTTTTTTAAAGAATGGAGCTCAGGAAAGACTTGGTATTAAACTAATTCAGCTTCTGAGATCCTAAAAGAATAACACCTGTTCCAGGGTAAAGACAAAGGTTCAAGCTGTAGGCTGATGAAAAAATTGCAAATCCACCCAGGCATTGTTGAGAGAAACTCTTTGGCCAAGAATGATCAAGACAAAAAAATTAGAGGGGTGCCTGGGTGGTTCAGTCGGTTAAGCGTCTGCCTTCAGCTCAGCAGGGAGTCTGCTTCTCCCTCCGCTGCTCCCCCTGCTTGTGCTCTCTCACTCTCTGTCAAATAAATAAAATCTTTAAAAAAATAAAATAAAATAAAATCTTTCAAAGACAAAAAAATTAGAGATTAAAAAATGTAAATATTCTGAGGAAGGGTAACACTGATAGATTACTTAAAGGGAATCATCTTACCAAAGAGCCCAGAGCATCATGGGACATCAGCTGCCTAGGCCATGAGTCAGAAAAAGGAGGAAGAGGAAAGAGGCCTAGAGCAGGATACTAAAATATGAATCCTGACCATCACTCCTCTAAGACCAGTCCTGGGTGAGTTGGTACTAGCGAAGGTTACTCTGGGCCTACTACAGGCCCCTTCTCATCCTCAAGAGATCCTCCACTGGCAGAGGCAAGGGGAAAGGAACAGATAAGCATAAATGTGAAGATAATGAGAAGGAGCAAACCTTGACCAGACCAGAGAGTTCCCAGACTCTTCCTCCATCCCTTGGGCAGGGTCTCACAAGAGGCTAAAACAGTCTCATCTAAGCCACTAAGTAGAGCAAACAGAAAATAACAGCTAGCATTGAGCACTTATCGTGTTCCAGGCACTGTACTTAATGTTTCACATACATTATTTTATTTAATCCTCACAATAACCTTAGAAGGGTGCAATTATTATCCCTGTTTTATAGATGAGGAAACTAAGACGGAAAAGATTAAGTAATTTACTGAAATCATCTTAGGCAAAGGAAACATCAAAACCTTGACTACAGCCCCACTGTAGGGTCAGATTCCCAGGACTGGGCTCTTAACCACAATGTTACTAACAGAAATCATAGTTTAGCCACAAATTGTGATGTAAATATACTAGGAGGATGGGAAAAGGGAAAGAGAGTATTTAAGGGGTGGGAGTATAAACTTTCCTATAATTCCTACAGCAGGAAGTCAACAGATGTCTAAAACTGATAAATCAAGAAGTATCACTCTAAGCATATTATTTAGAAACATGGGGGTAAATACCAGACAAAAGGGCTAAGAGTTGAAAGTGGTCTCTCCCATGGGGCAGGGCTTGGAGTAGGAAACTGCTTGCTAGTTTCTTTTAAAAAGCCTTTTGATAATATTAATCTTTTAAAAACCAGGCACATATATTCCTTTGACTGAAAAATGATTTATAAAGAAAAAAGAGGGGCGCCTGGGTGGCTCAGTCAATTAAGCGTCTGACTTCGGCTCAGGTCATGATCTCAGGGTCCTGGAATCAAGCCCCACATTGGGCCCCAAGCTCAGCATGGAGTCAGCTTCTCCCTCTGCCCTCCCCCCTTGCTCATGCTCGCGCGTGCTCTCTCATATAAATAAAATCTTGAAAGAGAGAAAGAGCGAGAGAGAAGGAAGGGAGGGAGGGAGAGAGAGAGAGAGAGAGAGAGAGAAAGAAAGAAAGAAAGAAAGAAAGAAAGAAAGAAAGAAAGAAAGAAAGAAAGAAAGAAAAAAAAGAAAGAAAGGCACCTGGGTGGCTCAGTCAGTTAAGCGTCTGACTTCGGCTCAGGTCATGATCTCAGGGTCCTGGAATCAAGTCCCAAGTCAGGCTCTGCACTGAGCGTGGAGTCCGTTTGAGATTCTCTCTCTCCCTCTGCCTCCACTTGTGCTCTCTCTCTCTCAATAAATAAATAAATAAATAAAATCTGAAAGAAAGAAAGAAAGTGCCTAAGGAAGGAAGAAAGAAGGAAGGAAGGAAGGAAGGAAGGAAGGAAGGAAGGAAGAAAGAAAGGAAGAGGAGTGCCTGGCTGGCTCAGTCGGCTGGTTCAGTCAGTGGAACATGCAACTCTTGATCTCAGGGTCGTGAGTTCAAGCCCACATTGGGTATGGAGCCTACTTAATCTTTTTTTTAAAGATTTTATTCATTTATGGGCGCCTGGGTGGCTCAGTCGGTTAAGCGACTGCCTTCGGCTCGGGCCATGATCCTGGAGTCCCGGGATCGAGTCCCGCATCAGGCTCCCTGCTCAGCCGGGAGTCTGCTTCTCCCTCTGACCCTCCTCCCTCTCGTGCTCTCTGTCTCTCATTCTCTCTCGCAAATAAATAAATAAAAAATCTTTAAAAAAAAAAAAAAGATTTTATTCATTTATTTGACAGAGAGAGAGAGCGAGAGCAGGAACACAAGCAGGGGGAGTGGGAGAGGGAGAAGCAGGCTTCCCGTGGAACAGGGAGCCCGATGCAGGACTCGATCCCAGAACCCTGGGATCATGACCCGAGCTGAAGGCAGATGCCTAATGACTGAGGCACCGAGACAACCGAGCCTACTTAATTTTTTTTTTTTTTTAAGATTTTATTTAACAGATCACTCAAACCAAAGTCTAATGTAGTGAACTTCTGCTGCTTTTGCCACACAGCTTCCATCTTCCTCTACCAGTAACAGCACTTGGGTTTTGCTTTGCACAATCTCCCTCCTTTATAGGATAATCTGGTGGGCCTATCCATCAAGGAACCTCGTATCGCCCTGGCCAAGGTGGGTGAGGGGCCAATGACACCCTCTCCTTGGAATCTTGAACAGAATGGCAAAAACACCTGGAACCAATTCACCCAGATGTAGAAACCCTCCATTAGTTCCTTCCACTTAGCCAGATCCAAGACTCTCCTGGTTCACACTTTTTTTTTAATTGAAGTACAGTTGAGACAATGTTACATTAGTCTCAGGTATGCCACAGTGCTGTGACAACTCTATAGTTACGCTATGTCCACCACAAATGTAGCTAGCAGCTGCCACCACTGACTGCTATTATAATACCACTGACAAACAGGACGCTTCACAGCTTTGCATGTCGCCCTGGCACAGGGACCATGCTAATCTTCTCCTTATCGGTTCAATTTTAGTACATGTGCTGCCAATGCGAACAGCCTTGGTTCGCACTTTTTTTTTTTTAAGCTTTCCCTTACATTCTGTGACTGCCCATTTCCTTCTAATAAAGTCCTCTTCTGCTTAAGTTAGCTAGAGTCCCTCTCTGCTGCTTATGACCAAAGGAACTTGACGGGAACGTCTAATAAAAATGTCTGAGGTTTGTTTGTGTTTCTATTTGCCATTATAACTTACTACAGTGGCTTGCAAACTCCTCTGACCTAAAAAAAATTTTACCTCAAGATCTAGTAAGCATACACACACACACACACACACACACATATATTATGTATACATACATATAACTGAAACAAAACTTTTGCTAAAAATGTCCACCCTAACACTCTGATAGTGCTAATTCTATTTCTTTTGTTTTGAAGACTTTATTTTGTTTAGAGCAGTTTTAGATTTACAACAAAATTGACAGGAAGGTACAGAGATTTCTCATATACTCCCTATCCCCACACAGCATAGCTTTCTCCATTACCTATCTCACTCACCAGAACAGCACATTTGTTATCAGGAATGAACCTACAAACTGACACATCATTATCACCCAATGTCCATGGTTCCCCTTAGGGTTCACTCAAGTAAAGTGAATAATGTACATTCTGTGGGTTAGGACAAAAAAAAAAAAAAAAAAAATCCTCTGTGCTCTATTCCTCTCCCCTCAAAATTCCTGGCAACCACTGATCTCTTTATTATCTCCACAGTTTTGCCTAGTCCAGAATGTCATATAATCGGAATCCATTTCTTTTCTAATGCTAGGGTTCTAACCCACTAAGTTGACTTCAGACCCACTGGTAGTGATGATCTGCAGTATGAAAAACATTGGCTCACTGTACCTGCTGCATCTGCCTCCAACAATAAAAATAATCCAGAGAGGTATTAGCCGTATTTCCACGTCCAAGTGTGATGCACCAACACACACGGCCTGGCTGGCAGGGAAACACCAACAGAGTCCCAGGGTTCTCACTCCCACCAGGACACACTAGTCAGTTAAATTGTCTACACTGCTGACACCAAGGAGAAACATCTGTTCATTTACATATTCATTCACTCACTCTGAGCATGCACTGAGCATTCACTCGATGGTGTGAATATACTACAGCTTCCTGGAGACTGTCCAGAGCCATAAATTCTATCTTCAGGCTGGCTCAGACGACAGGAATCCAGGGACAAAGCCTATCGCCTGACTGATTGTTTACCACCTCCTCCCCTCCTTAACAGCTCAGGAATGTCTCCAAGAACAGATTCCCGCAATGCTTTTCATTCACAGCTTTGCAGTAAAATACCTCTAAAGTCCAGTCTATGGAAGAAGGAATAAAGGGAATTTCTATCTCCCCTCTTTCTAGAGATCTCTGATTAGCTTCAAACTAATCCATGGCTGGATACTGACTGAATTCCTTGCTCACTATTTTCCTACTGACTCTTTCTCCCCCAAGAGGCAACAAAGTATCAAGGGACAGAAGAGTGTGTCAAATTATTCTCAACAGTACCAATACACTGGTCTTAAGACCTTTCTGGATCTCTTTTTTACAGCCAACAAAAAGAAGCCCAACACCCCTCTCCTTTATTTTCCTCATACTCTTTTCCCTGTCTCAACCATTCCAAAATAGTGAGTAAGAGCACACAGTAGGTGTTGGGACTGACATAATAGAGGATGGATTTTATTATCTTCAGAGTTGCATTGCTGAGGGAGTGGTGGGTTGGGCAGCATCAAGACCTGTAATGTGGGTAGAAACACTCAGACTGGACAGACATGGAGTGGGGAACTGTGAACAGAATTCAGTGATCATCTGTACTCTAAACTTGAAATGAGAAACTATTCTACCAGTTATTTTGAGTGATTTTGAAGAGCCATAATAGGGGTGCAGCCATAATTAGCTCCCCCAGGGGGCATGCTGAGACTGGAACCCAGGAAGGGAATCAGATACAGAGTGGAGGGAGGGGAAATGGAGGAATACAAACTCCCCATCACTTGGCTCCCATTTCACTCTCACCCACAATAGCTTGAAAATCGATGAAACAGTACACACCCATTCTGGGTCAAGTTCCCCAGCAAAGCCTAGAAACATTCAGCCACAAGTTACCTTCCTCTGCCTCTGGAGGAGAAAAATCATATGGTCACCTGGGGTGGGGAGGAGAACAAGGACAGGGAGCCAGGGAGTGGGGAGCGGAGCAGATGTGTTACCGCTGGAGAACGCCCCTCTCTCCCCCACCCTCACTAGGTCCGGAAGCTCTCGCGAGGGTCACTTCCCTTCCCTTTCCAGCCTGGTTTCTGGCATCTCCTTCATCCACTTGCCCGGGGCTTGGTAGCTGGACCCGGAAACAAAGTGAAAAAACCGTCCCAGGAAGCTACCGGTTGGCCCATGGGGGAAGAGGAGCCAGGAGAACTGCAAGGGGAAGAAGAAATCCGAGCAGAGAGGTGACCCCCAAGCGGACAGCCCCATTCCTCCCAGAGAAAGGTGGAGTTCCTGGCCACTCTCGGTGTACCTGGAGTCCTACCGCCCCACCCTTCGGTCCAAGCCCTAGGATTTCACTCTCTACCCTTTGTCTTCTTACCGACCACCCAAAGCACCATTAAGTTCTTGGAAGGGCCTCTGACACCGCCAGGACCCACAGAAAAGCCTAATCTCCCCCGTCGGAGACCCAAAGTACAAAGAGAGCAGAGATCCCGTTCTAGGAGCTCATTTCTCCTACGACCCAATCTACTGCTCACAGGACGCCTGAGTAGCGCGCACCGGATGCTCGCGCGGGGTCCCGGGCAGGAGCCGCAGTGTCCTCCCAGGCGGCAGGGATGCCCCCAGTCCCCGAGCCAGAGAAGCGCCGCGGGGAGCCGATGGCACCAAGCCGGCCCCAGGTGATGTCAGCGAACTCGGCGCGGGGCACGGGAGGAACCGAACTGGAAATCGAGAATACCGGGCGGGGGAGGCGGCGCGGCCGCTCTCTCTTACCGCGGTCTGCCCCTCCGGGCGCACGTCCACCAAGGTACACCAGTTCCGCGTCCCGTTCATCTTACTCGCGCGGAGATCGCAGTGCAGAAGCCCACCGTCCGCCCTGCGGTCCGGCACCTACTAGGCAGGCGCGCGCGGAACCGCCCCGATGTATAGGCGCATCGGGGGCGGGATCTGCTGATTGGACATGCCCCAAAAATGCCGTTCGCCAATGTGAGCGAGAAAGAGCGGAATGGGCGTGACCGAGAAGCAGCAGGACACGCCCATCTGCGCTCGCTCCGACTGACATAAACAGGGGGCTCGGAGGCTACCTGAGGCTGCTTAACCGAAATTTTGTCCAGCGTGTGTGGTTGCGTCTCAGACATTCTTCGTTAATCTTGCTGTTCCCTTTTCAACTCCAAGGTGTTGTTGGTGAAAGAGAATCACCCTGCCTGCCCCTTAGAGGATGAGTTGGAAAAAAGCTTCCGTACATTCTCCTCTCCCTGTATACAGGTCACCTTTGAGGAACTCAGCATGGTAGAAATGCAGGCACCAGCGGCCAACTCACTCAAACTGGCCTAAGCCAGTCTGACAGGTGCCCTGCCCTGGCAGGAGGCCCAAGCCAAAGTCAAAGCCAGCTTGGCTCTGGGTGGGGCTTGTTTTGTAGAAGCTATTATACCAAAGCTGCCCTTATATGGCCGGGAGAGGCGGGACACGTTGCCTTAAAAGGATTTTGTATTCTTGAGAAAGGATGAGCCTCAACTTCTCTAATGGCATCTGCTCCCCAAGCCCAGATTATCATCTTAAGGGCCCACAGGAGAGGATGGCCAAGGATAGAGTCTCTCCCAGCCCGGTTTTTCTCTACAGGTTGGCTGCTCCACTGGGCTGTGTCCACATGGAAAGCAGGCAGGAGGTCTGACCCACTCTTGAGTGGGCAGTGCCCCTGCATCTGGCATTAGGCTCTGATGAACAGCTAACTCCCTCTTCAAGGCAACACAAGAGCAGGAATTTTGCTACCTCCCAGGTAGGGACTGGGTCCCATTCCAGATGGGAATGAATGTCTTTGTACCCGGGAGGTGAATGCTGGGGATATCCCTGTGCCCCAAGGGAGTAAAACCCAGTTCTGTCTCCTTTATCCCTCAGAGGCAGCATTTACTGGCCTTTCTATTCCCAGAAGGTTGTTTAGGAGAGAATGGAGGTGCTATATATAAACAGTTTCCCTAGGTTCCATCTAATCAGCTGTAAAGAGCCTCTAAAAAGTGAGGTAAAGAAAACCCCAGCTTCAGCCTCGAAGTTCTCTAGGTAAAATGGTTTCTTCATAAAACAGACCTCCAAATAAGCCATGGAAAAGAATGGGAAGGCAAGGATTTCAGTATAGATATATAATTTTATTTTTTTTTTATTTTTATTTTTTTAAAGATTTTATTTATTTATTTGAGAGAGAGAGAACACATGAGAGGGGATAGGGTCAGAGGACGAAGCAGACTCCCTGCCGAGCAGGGAGCCCGATGCAGGACTCGATCCCGGGACTCCAGGATCATGACCTGAGCCGAAGGCAGTCGCTCAACCAACTGAGCCACCCAGGCGCCCTAGATATATAATTTTAATATTTAATTTAAAATAAAATCAAGGCTGGGTTGGTTTGGGAGAAAATCTCCAATTTGCAGAATAGAAGATTTAAAAGAAAAAATCATGAAATTACAAGTCATTAGTGAAAACAGCCTTCTTCCTCCCTCAGGCTCCTTACAGAGCCTGCTTAGGAAATAAGAAAGGTAAATCATCTCCCTTACCTCCTCCCTACCAGGGCTTGGCTCTCCCCAAAACCCAAGGGAGGAATAAATCTTCCATTGCCTCTTCCCATTTCTACCAAGAGTCAGTTTTTAGCCCTAGGCAGGAAGCCGTGTGTCAGGTCCAAGCTCCTGAGATAATGAGGGTCCCCTGGTTCCCCACTGAGGTTGGGCACATCTGGGTCAGAGAAGCCCCAAGGAAGACCTTTGCTTTTCAAACTCGTGTAGACAGTTATCAGGATTCCCAGATGCAACCCCCTTATAAACACATCCATCG